AACCTATTACTTGTTCCTTTGCAGCCTACGCATACTGACGCAGCTACTCACCTGACATACTAGTTATTACTTGCTGATCTATTTAATCTCCTGATTCTAGTTACCTCCTTAATTGAGTTAAGTAAACTAGGGTTCAAACATTATTTCACATTCACTGATTCATATTGTCTTCTTTGTACACCATTGCATCTCAAAGAATATTGAATTAGTAATAGAAACCCTTATGGTGACGAAAAGACACATTTTGATTAAACAAGTGTATTGTGGTAAGAAACTGGAATTCCCACAATTATATTTAGAGTTCACTGTCTCAGCAGTATAAATATCTACTTCAAGCTTCTATTTTTTTTTAGCCACAATTACTCTGAGTTCAGCAGTAAATCATGTCAAGAAATGTTAAGTGTGATCCGTATTAGGTTAAGCAATTATATAAGAGTTGATCATAGTTTATATTATGCTAATTATTTTTAGATAATTTGATACTTCTATTGATGTAAAAGTAATTAAAACTGAAATGCATATGACCTTGAAGACATAAGGTCAGACATCTTTTATTAATCAAAACTTCTGCTAGTTCTTTTACAGAATCTAATGGTCTTAAGTTTAATATTTTATTGTTGAGGGATGCGATTTAATTTCATGCATAATTATATAATTTATTCCCCATTTAGTCATGATATAAAAAAAATATCTAGAATTATTCTGTCATAGTGTTGCACTATGAAAATGGAAATTTTCATCTTACAATGATAATTGCACTGGTTGTAATATTTGCATTTTAAAATGTTTGTGTTCCATGATTTAAGTTTTCAATAGTTCAGTATCAAAACTGGGATTGTAACACTATTCTTCATAAAGACTAGATTTAGAAAACCTAAATAATAAATAAAAATGTGTCATAGACAGCTTGTAGGAGATAATTACATGGTAATGTGGGAACAGGTTCTTACAATACATCTCTAACATTCTGATGCATTGTTAGGAAACTGCTCAGGGTAGGTCCTATTATAACCATACATACTAAATGCCAATTTAATTTTTGTGGATTGGGCAAGTATGCAGTTAAACTAGTTGCATCTATTTCCAATCTAATTCCAAGTTCTATGAAGATCAGCAGGTGACCAAACTGAAGAGCATGGTTTTCTACTCTGGAAATGTGATTGATAAACCTAAGACTTTATTTTACAAATGAATACAATACCTATATTCACCTTGCATTTAACGGTTCGGTCTTAGGAGTTAAGATAAGATCACTTTATTAGCCATATACAATTTCTTGCATTAGGAATTTGTCTTCTCGCACACCCCAGCTTGCTCTCCATGAGACACAGGCACACAGACAGGGAAAGAGAAGCTTGGGGTCAGAGCGCAGGGTCAGCCATTTATATGGTGCCCCTGGAGATGTTGTTCAGGGGCCCAACAGAGTAGGATTCCTCTGCCGGCCGCGGGATTTGAACTGGCAACCTTCCTGCCATTGGCGCAACTCCTTAGCCACAGTGGCACCACTCTGCCTACAAGATGCACCTTATTCTAGTTCATTCAGTGCTTAGACCTAGCCAAACCTAAAGGCATCTTAGAACTTGAGTATTGAATTACTAAAGGAAATTACTAAGACTGGAGTACTTGAAAGCCATTCTTACCATCTAGTTTTGACTTAATGTTCCATGGGTACCATCAAGTTAAGAAGACACTAAGTTTACAGAAATGATAGTAGTATATATGGTTTTACATTTGCAATATTTCATTATGTGCACTGCATGTTTGAATAAGGAATATTTTGTTTGGAGAGACAATACAGTATGCACCTCAATATTCATCTTTTTTAGTATGTTTGGTGCAAATCTGAAACAAAAGAAATCAAGGTATCATAACTAAAAAAAATCCGTTTTAATTTTCAGTTCTCAAATTTTAAAATGTGAGTGCTGAAATGAGTATTTAGATGTAAAAAATCAAACAGCACTACTTACAATTGGAAATATGACTAAAAGGCAGGGCTATTTTCTTAATCACATAAAATGTGAGACTTCAGAGAAACCATCTTCTTCTGTATTTAATCAGTAATAGTTGCGTACTTTAATTCTTCACATTATTTTAGATGGATGTACAAATTGTGAAAAAATAAAGCTAATCGAAAATAAGAGTAACAGAAATAACTACATTTAGGCATTTCACTGACATGATTGCACGGGTTTTATTTTTTGGCACAAGTAGCCCTAAATATTAAATTTATAAATAAACATTTTAAATCTCAGGTACATCTAGAAATCTTTCTCTGATGAATATACATGACTAAAGTGACTCAGCTGCAGTTTCTTAAGAAAGGCTATTCTACTATGTCACTTCTCACAAAGAAGCAGCTTTTGAAACCTCCAATCAAGGCTTCCTACCTATCTTCTTACATGCTGGATTAAAATTGAACAAACCCTTTGCACATATTTGGGAAAACAGCTGCAGAATGTAATCAACAGGCTAAAAAAATGGAAAAATCACAAACTGATATTTTACAATTAGATTTTATGACTGTATATGAACATGTAAAGGTGGAGATCGACATATGATGTAAATGATTTGAAACTAATAAATTCATCATCAAGAGACTTTATTGAATGTTCACATTGAAAACTGAAATTCTGCTGAGGGGAAAAAAACATGCTATTGTACCTCTTACAAGCAGTCAAAATGTAAAATTATGTTATCGCACAAATTAACAGCTAATATTGAAAACAAAACTAACCACTTAAAGATGCTTATTGCCATTTAATATTTCTAACTGTACCAAGATAACTTACAACAGCCAAAAAAAAAATAATAAAAAAAAATAAAAAGGAAATAAAAGACTGAATAAAATCTGCATTAGAAATACCCATCCCAACCCCCGAAACACCCCTCCCCACTTCCCCCAGATCTATTCTTAAGCAGCTCTTTCCATCACAGACATGTTATACAGGGACAAACAGCTCTGAATTATGTGGCATATCTCTTGGTCCACTGTCTGGCTATTCTGTCATGCTCTGCTCTGTTGGTCATATACTGAGTTGCAATGCTTCCAACAAGAGGATCAGCTGTAATAAAAAAAAAAAAACAGCAGTTAGTTAATGTTAAAAAACTAGAACAGATGACAAATGTTTAATAAAAGACTTACATAAAGTGCTTTATTTACACAAACGGAGTACCCACTGGGGTTACCTGGAAGTATAAGGTCATGTTCTCTTAGAATGGTCAAGTTCACATTAATCTGTTCTTTTGCAGCGGTTTGCCAAGCTTTTTATCAGCTTGAGTCAATACGCACAGCTTATCAAATTTTCTAAAAGAATGTGATAATCAATTGTTTTTGCATTCACCTGACAACGACAACAGCTATTTGCAGCTAAGTTGCCATTGTATCTCTCTCTCCACAGTTCCTTCATTGGTTTAAATCCAAGATTTATGTCAAAACGGTGTTGTAAAGACAAAAATACAAATATATTTCCTAGAAATATTTACATGGCTGAGCTGATCATTTAAAATGAACACAAAATGTTAAATCATGTTTTGAATTTATTTTTGCTGTGTCTGGTTTGAAATTGTACATTCTGAAAATAAATACAACCTAAAAAAATCTTGATATTACTTAAAACTGGACTAGGAAAATGGAAGTACCATTAAGCACTAAATGTATTCATGTTGACAATTTTTTAAAGTAAATATACAGTATTCATTACATACATTAACCTGTCTTGGAACAAAAGGTTTTATTTCACAGTCAGGCTTCTCCATTTTCAGTTTCCTATCACTAATGCAAAACAAAGTACCTACTACAGAGAGAAACAATCTCCTTTCATCCAGATTCAACACTGAAAGACTTTGGCGGGAATCCAAGCAAGGAAATCACAAGAATGGAGAACCTACTCTGTCAGTCAACTCCATCTGATTAAAGTTACGACATATAGGCTAAGAAG